ATCAGAGCATAAACCCGCTTTTAAGGTACAAGGATTCTACCATAGAAAAAACCAATGAGTTCACTTATCTCGGAATGACGTTTGACACAAAGCTAACGTGGACCGACCGATGTCTTTCCACACAATGAAGGCCTTAATCAGAAGAGAATTCAAGACCTCAAGGTGCAACGAACTTAAAGCTCTAACAAAGGAGAAACAGTGGACAGTGGCACTCTCCGACATAGCCGACTGGCCAAGAATCGAAACCGTTGCTGAGTTTAGACTATGGGAGCATATACTCGACCCACATGCCCCCTATGTAACCTACAGGAGGAAATGGAGAAGACCCACCTGATTCGATGTCCAGCTCTAAAGACATGGACGGAAAGCCAGAGATACTGGGAAGCAAGAAGACGGATAATGAACTGCTATAAATGTACCCCCCCCCAACCTTGGGGGAAGTTTAAATCAAAGTTTAAGGGCTAATGATAAATATCATAAAGCCTGCCATTCGAAATAAATATTCAATGCATCGATCTACACTCCCATCATCGTAATCTTCATTTACCCGAATCGTTAATTTTCCCGATCACCTTCAATAATACAAAATATGTCTGCATCTTGGTGCTAACAGAACCACAAGCGGAATCTCTTCGCAGTAAACTTCGTTTCCGTCACTACATGGTCAAGGCAGTTTGTACCTCTTAAATGTGAAATTACCATTCAGCACAATTTGTATCTACTTGGTCTAAAATTCCAAAAATGTGGCCGAAATGGTACACGCATAAAGCACAAAGCGCCAAGTGGCGAGCATGTGGCATTTGCGCACTAAGATTCGCTGAAAATCTATTTGTGTGGTTGGTTGCATCGTTGGGCAGATAATATGCCGACTTTTATCAACTATAGAACATTTCTGAGTTCATTAATGAAAGCCTTCATAAGACTTGACGTGAGTGGAGAGAAGAGTACTTTGGGCCGATCTTATAGGGAAAAATATGCTGTTCCTCCTTTGTGATAAAACCTAACCGCTGCTATTGGCCAACCATCGACTAGCAGTGACCTAACTCGAAAACATGCGCATTGACCTCTTATTCTCTAACTTCTAATTTACGGTTCCCTTGCCACGAGGAATTGGTGATATGAGACTATCATTCGCCTGCTATCAAGGAAACTATAGATTATAATCGAATGATTACCAACATGCATTGGCAAATAAATCTGGCTTACTAAAAATCCCTCATCCAAGAAACCACTGCAAATCTACCACATTACCTATCACTCAAATTAGCCGGACCGAAACGGCATTAGTAAAATATCAAATCCTACTCGAGTCAATAAATCCTCACTTCCATCGAAAACAAATCCGCTACATTTTCCTCTCTCTTCCACCTCAAGTAAATGAGATATACAACCTCTCCAACTCCTTCCTCTGATACCGACTTTGTCGATTTGGTCTCTTATGGTTGAAAATACAAATCACCAAGCCTTTCGGACTGTTATTTTGTTTTTATCCAGTTTAATCTTAAAGGTTGACCGGGCTCTATATTAACTAGGAAATACCGGCTCCTAAACATATACGCCTGTGATACAATGCTTTTCGTTCGCTTCCATGAAGTCAACAGTCGTAGACTCGACGCTTACCAGTGGACACTCAGTGAGAGAATGGTTAGATTTTGGGTTCCTCACTTCGATAGGGATTTAAAAACACCTTCCCCAGCGTTGTGATTGCAACCCGCATTTACTTTTATGCTGGCTTGTATCTTTATTTGCTTAAGAATTTTGTTATTTCCTCATTTTGCTCCCCTGACCTTGAACTTGTTCTGATTTTATAACTCTATCATAGTCTCGGATTTTTTCTGGTGGTTACAGACATAACCACCACACCCCACATGACTATGGTGAGAAAAAGTCAACCAATGAAAGCAACCAGAGTTTGCTTACTAACGCAACTTCTATCTGATTTATTTTAAAAATATTTCAGGATTTGTCTTGAAAAATGCCTAGAAATTAACTATAGCACAGTTTGAAGTAGGAGTGATTATCTTCATCTTATGGCTGTACAAAAAAGTTCATATTTTACAACTGAAATGTAGATGGTAGCACAAAGTCCAGCATTCGTTTAGCCCTCTCGATAACATTAGCTGAATCTAAAATTAAAATAATGACCGAAAATTATTACTTACAGCAAATAAGTAGGATATACTTAAAAGTTGTAAAACATACCGCATGATTCAGGTATTGCTAGGGGTACAGCAGGACAATCGGGTTGTGCACCTTCATTATCGATCACTTGCTGACACATTGATCGTATTCGATCGCAAGAAGCTCCCTGAACTCCAGCAAGATAGTGAAGTAGTAACTCGTAGGTGTCATCGTTGATCTAAAACATAAATAAAATAGACCATTGAGAAAAAATGAAGCTCAAATATATTTTTAAGAGCATAAAATGAGGGCACGTAATAACAAAGCAACCTACCAGTTGGGAATTAAAGGAGTGCTTGATTAGAGTAATTTGGGAAAGCTTTTGATACTTCCAAGTCTCGGGGCTTTCATACCAGGCGCTGAGGTATTCAATCGCATTAGTAACACGATCTTGAACATCACGCTGGGGTCTCGAACGAGCCAACTTTAAATTGGCCTTGCGTTTGCGTTTTGAGACAGTTTTCTGCCGATGACGTTTTACCCACTTAATACGTTTGATCGCATTCTTACTCAATTTTTTCTTCACTGACGATACCGGCTGTTTACCGCCTGCAGTGGCAGCAGTCGCTTCAATTGCATTAGATTCCCCACCTATCAAAGTAGAAAAACGATAATGCTAATGTACGTAAGAATTTCCTTTTGAGATTAAAAAATAGGCTCTGACGCAAAGTATTAATGAGAAACCAAATAGTATATATTGCATTACTTAAAGTACAATGACATTAAACAACAGAATTGGCAGTTAATACTTAAAAACCGGCTTTTTGGAAAGTAACTTCAAGGGAATAAACGAAACAGACATACTTGACGATTTCAAGATTGGCTTGCTTCTGACATTTCGATTTTCTCCGAGCTCTAATCCCTCAGCAAAGTGAACTGATTTTCTCTTTGACGATTTGCATTCGGTTTCGTTGTTAATCTCACCTAAAAATCACCGAATCGAAAGTTAACAATAACGTTTACTCACTCCATTTAAGTAGAACGATTATTTTATACTTACCAAACGTTTGGGAACGAGGAGTCACGATAAACTTGGGTTTACGTTTAGGTTTTATCTGATTTGGAGTATTTTCAGCGGATACGGCGACTGCTTCGTCAAAAGATTCAAGGTCTTTGGACGATTTCTGTTTTAAGTCAGTATCAGTTGTGAACTCCTCGTTGATATCTGACGACTTCTTATGTTTCTTTGAGGATTTTTCTAATTGGGCATCAACCACCATTCCTGATGTCTGAAAAGAGTCAAATCATAAGAAAATATGAACACGAAACTAGAGAAGGAAAGAAGACGCAATAGAGAATGCATATGCATATATTCTTGAAATACTACGATTTAAAATACAAAATTTGTCATGCGACAACGCATGATTGAAAGATAAATTTGAAGCCAGCACCTACAAGTTAAAAAAAGGAAAAAAGGTTAGAATTCTTTTAAAGGATATCAGAAAGCGATTAATTATTGTTTCAATTAGAAGTCGCATCAAGTGCTATTTTTCAAAAGTTGATTATATATTGAGCGGTTAGTTGTGCCACCTCTGTGTAACAGTCTCCAGAGTAATCACCAATATTAGTCAAGCCGTTTTCTGCGTGGCAGAGTCCACTCAATGCGAAGTAAAGAGCAAACAGTGAACTTTTGTAGTCATGCAGGTTAGTCTAATCCAATTTCCTTCACAATTTGAAGAAAATTATTACACACATCTTCTAACAGATGTCTTCTGAGCTTAAAGACGAGAATGGCATTGGCATACCCCATCTTTAAAAAATTGGTCAAGACGGATATCCGCCTTCAATCACAAACAGAGGGGTTTGAATGGGAAGTTTCAAGAAGTATGCAAAAACTAAGAGCCTTCATGGCTTGAGATATTGAGGAGTTAGGGACTAAGGCCCAATACTATTCAAGCTCTAGGGAAAAATTCAAATGCTCTTCAGAGAACGAGAAATTAAACGCCAAACGCCTTCCAGTTTAACACGTGTGCCTAATCTGCTACTCACCAACGCGACATTTTCTCACAATCAGATTAACTAGATACGACAAAATTGCTTAATATTTATCGACGAAAGAGTAGTTTTCCCACAGAATTGTTATGCAGTGTTGAAGAGGCTAGAGCTTGGAAGCTATCAAGGCAGAATGTTGAAAGCTAGGCAATCCTCCTCTTTCCAAGACTTCCAGAAGCTGCCGAAAAAAACGAGACAAGTGATAAGGCGTGGCAACTTGCATTAGGAGAATATAAAGAAGACACTAGTTTCGAAACTAGTAAATCGAATAACCTCGTGAGATTGAAAGGGAGAAATAATAAACAAGTTCAAATTAGGGATAAAGTTTGCTAACTAGGATCAATCGATAGATTTAAGGAATAATTAACAATGACTATGTCGTAAGGAGCAAAAAAGCATGAAATTAGAAGCAAATGGAGAGACAGATTATACTTTAACCAAATTGAAGACCTAAGCACTTCCTGCTGTTCCGATTAAACGTACCTGCTTAAAGGTCATGCTCCGATTCTGCGAATCCGAAATTAATTAAGTTCATCAAATCAAAATTGCGCCATTAGGTGTGCGTGAGCAGAAGGACATATAATCAAACTGATACAAAAGAGGTTCACTTTTTCTTGACTTCGGTACAAGTGGAGTAGACATGGCAGTAAATCCCATAGTGCCAACTGAGAGCTTCTTACACCACCTTCTCCTAAACTATTTCATTTTCAAGAAACTCTTTGGTGGAAATGATAATTGCTGTTGCTGCTGTTGTAAGCCATGTTGTTGTTGTGTCTGCGCTAAACCGGTTTGTTGCCAGTGCTGTTGTTGTGATGGAGGCGGTTTTGGTGGATTTTAATGAACTTCAGAGATCAAAGCAATTCGTTGTATCACACATGTCCAATCAATTGAATGCCGCAATTCATCTCATCTTCTCCCATAAATATATATTAAAAATGACTTACAAAATACCAGTCATACTCAACCTCTTCTCCTGCTTCACTCGTTAAACGTGTAAACTTGCATGAACGACCATTTATCCTTGTCCCCGCCAATTCTCACAAGGTAATGCCATCATATTTTATTGTTAATATTAACTATTATTTCTGTGAAGTTTAAATGTCTAGATATCTTACTTAGTTGAGCTGTTTATCTACCTATAACTAACTGTAAGGCAAAACGATGTACCGTCATCCCTAAATAACAGCTAAAAACGGGAAAAGGCAAAACAATGTGGGTCGAGAAGAGGTCGAGCGAGATTAGGAAATAGGACATCGATGAGAGTTTTATAAAATTGTATCCATCAGCAGTCTAATTTTTCTACCAAGGTAAGAATGAGCCTGAATATTTCTTTCTATGACATGGTGACACATGGTTACTAGGGTATTCCTACGAAATGCGTGATGTTGGACTTGAAGAACCTTTTTTGAAAGAAATTAGTAACAATGATAATAAATTAGTTTTCGCTGTGCTCGAAAATACCCTCCCCTAAATCTCATGGTCATCATAAGACGAGAAAAACGCTAAGCCATGGGTTTAATTTAGTTGAAATGTGGACACTAAAAAATGTGATGAGGGAGCAACCTACAAGGGCATAATGGAGAGCAAAACTAAGACAGAAAGCTAAACAAATTCAATATTTGACTGAGAAATCATAAATCATATTCAAGGGTAATTAAACACGCAAGATATCTCTTATTTCAAAGAATTATAGGCTTTAGAAGTTAGTGCTTTTCCCCTAATCATTCCTTCCAATTAGGCACAATCGACAATAATTGAATTAATTGAAAGCTAGCAGACGTAGTAACCCGAACAAACTTTTCCCTTTTAAACGCATTATAATCCTCAGCTACACAAATACTGAAACTCAGAAACGCCCAAAACAAATAAGATATAGTCATAAAAACCAAAACAGACAATTAAAATAGCTCATAAAAAATGACTCAAAAAAAAACAAAAACAAGAAAAAAGAAGAAATCTACCTACATTTAAGGACGAGTATCGAAGACGAAATCGGGGATTCTAATCACAGCACCGTCCATTTCTGCAGAAACGATAACCTGGCAACCGAGTCGAGACCTAGAAAAAGTTAGGAATAAGTGTACGATCGATCTAGAAATAAATTCCAAAATGATGGCGAGAAAGGCTGAATATCGTAAATGTCAATGATTTCACATCTGTGAAAGTAAACTAATTACTAATGGCAGACAAGAGCTGGGAGGAGTTAACAATAACAGTCAAGGTAGTGTCAAAATAAATTGGTTTCGAAGTAAACTTAGGATTAACTGAAGAACTATTCTATCTTAATGAATGACTCAACAAATACCAGATAATTGAGAAGATTTTGCAATTCAAAATAGTAAAAAATAAAAGGAATACATAAAGATCTGAAAACGTAATAAAAATACTTAAAGGAAAACCACAAAAATAGCTTACGTGTCTGTGATATGAGGGGCAGTATCAAGTAAATCCAATTCTTCTTCAGAAGGTGGATTGGAAAGCTTATTGTAAACATCATCACTCAAAATAAGATGACAAGTTGAACAAGCCAATTCACCATCGCAAGCTCCTTAGTAAATAAATGAATATTGGAAAAAGTCATTACCAAAGCCATCAATATCTAAATTATTGTTCAGAACAACGTCAAACAGCGTATCACCGACATTAGCCCGAACTGTTTTATGAGAACAGCCATCAGGCCATTCGAAAGTTAATTGCACTCTGAAAAACCCGTTGAGCTAAATCATGCACATTACGTTGTAGGAACAGTAGAAAAGTAATTGAATTGTATCTTTTCAAATGGTAATCTGGGACGAAATGTCTTGGCAATAAGTGCACGTGATGCACGTCGAAACAAAAGAGGTAGCATTTTGTGATGGCAAGGTCATTCAAAGGACGTCAATTTATCCTCCTTGCAAACAAGTAAATCCAAAGTACTATTGCTCTTTTAATTAAAAAGTAAATTAGTTCAAACTTATGCATGGTTTGTAGTGAACAATTAATCATAGTCTAAACGCCGGTTTATTGGATTTAAGAGATAACTAAGGTAAAACAGTAAAATTTCTTCTCATTCATATTTGCGCCTTTATAGTAGAAATTTTCAGATTGGCATATTTTACTGTTGAACATTATTCAAAAAAGTTCACTTACCTTTTTAGCTTTTATAGTACATAACTTATGTATATATGTATGTATTACGCAGTCGTTACGATAGCAGTTTTAAGCAAGTAACGCTTCATAAAATTTAACATTAATCCGCATCGCCCTCAACATTTTTATAATCAACTCTCTTTTTCTCCCTATGTTAGATCAGATGGGCTTTTATTTAAATTACTTTTACTGAAGTTTCATCTTCTTTCTCCTAAATGAATTGGTGTTGCGCACCTTATGAATGGAATATAATCTACATTAATCAACTGAAAATGTTAAATCTTTTAGCTCAACTGAGGATTATAACAGAGAATTGGAATTAGTACATATAGTAAACAGCGTAAAACTGCAAAATATTTGGTGTATGTGTAAGAATGCAGGCATTTATTACTGTTTGGTAAATAAGTAAACAAGGACTCTATGCCAAGAGATCATAAAAGATCTAATGGCGAAAATAATTTGATAAACATATAACCAAACAAGTAAAGAAAATATAGTGAGTGATATTTAATTGAGGGTTGAAGCATTGATTTGAAGGCCTGGTTTTCAATTATTTTTAATATCGTCCCGAAACTATGACCAGGAAAACGCATGACTGCATATTATGGGACAATTAACTAATTGTATTTTGTTTGGTGATGTTATTACCTCTAATGTAAGCGAACAATTTAAAAGAAACCTGAAGCTATATTTTTATCAATAAGTTTAGTGCTTCAATATTATTACTATAATACAATGTCATAAAGAAGTCCGCAGATGGATTTATAAAAATACCATGAATTAAAATAAAAAATATGCATGCAAAGATAATAGTGGCTGATAGTAGATACTTTTAGAAAAAATTGTTTGCGTGCGCTGAAATAGAGGTGCGATTACGGTTTTCCACACTATATGATAGATGATCGATGCCAAAAGATTGTCGATTGTTCTTTCCGAGGATGTACTCTTTTATTAGAAAGAGTCTGATTATGAATGATTTAAAATTGATTGATCCGAACATGCTGTCAATGCGCCGATCTTTATTTAAGAACAGTAAACATTTAGTCATCATAGCATCATCTTACCATCGATTGGGAGCCACTTTAAGTTCTAATATTAACTCTTCTATTGACAAATTCTCAAGTATATACGATCGAATTTCAGGGAGAGATGCTGTCACAAATGCCCGGAATGATCTTCAACAGGTCTGCATGTTTTATCCCCTAAGTTTTTAGGCTGAGCAAGATTTTGTATCGAAACAACTGACTCGGCGCACACTGCAGCAGTCCTTATTTGATGTTCAGAAGAAAAGAAGCGATCTAAACAAAAAAGTGAAAGTCACTTCTATCACTGATGATTCTTACCTTCAGTTAATCACAATGGAGCTCGAGGTTTGTTCTTATTTTGAAATCAATTCAGAAATACTTCTTTAAATAAGCTGGCAAGAGAGGAAGCTCGAGTAGCTATGGAATATCGTGAATCAGATCTACTTGAAAAAGCTGCATATGACAACTTTACTAGCTTAATGCGAAACTTGCATGCGGAAGAGAGAAATTATGATCAGCGCATGCGCATATGGACTTTAATTGGATCTGTAGTTGTCGCGATAGTTACTATTTTCGTGAATTGGCTTCGGTATCACACTCCACAAACGGTATTGCTCATTTTAACCTCTTATTCTAAATTGAATTTGTTGGATGTTGATTCTCTTTGTTCAAGTTTAGGCTGACATACGGGATTCTCTACTTACGATTAAAGGAGTCACTTCGACCCAGGTTCGTAAAAATATGAGCGTTTATTAATCGTTACGCTGATCAAATTCTGTAACGCTTATTTTTTATTTAGGAGGAAATCAGATTACAACTTTGTAAACTTATTGAGCACTTGCGCAAACAGGTTTGTTATAAATATGTGTAAGAGCAGTCTAAATAAGATTTATTTAAGTAACATCTTGTGGATAAGGGGAGCTTGTATATAAAGCATAACGTTTTTAGATGGTATGAAAGATTCTTGATATTCATTAAATCGTATAAAAGTAAAAGGAAGTGATCTTCTTGGAAAAATTTCCGGAGATCCGCATGAGAATATTTTTGACTTAGCATATTTTTTGGTAACTTTATTCTTCCATCTACCTTTAAATTATATCCATCTGCAATTTTACAGAAAATTATTGTTTTTAGCTTGGAAGGGATTGATTATTTCTTGTTTTGGTCAGCTTCCACAACCTGCATCGAAAACAGGTTTTAGGTATTCTCTTTGTGCAATTAGCAGGCACTTATTTTTTAGCACTATGTGCGCTACCTACGCTTTTAGCTAACAATTTGAGGTTTTAAAAGGAATAGATAAAATTGTTCCCGAAATCGAAATCTTTTCCAGAGATCCAAGGATTAATGCCAATTTCACTTTGCTTCCTGATCATTCTCTTCTGCAGAATACTCATTAGAAATCAGTAGAATTCGACATTAGTGGGCATAGATGGGGTATTCGAAAATTTGGAAATTTTCCATAACTCTGGAACGAGGGAAGGTTATTATTGCCTATGTGTGGAAAAATCGACAGTGTTTGTCATTAGAAGCCTCACTATGTTCCACTTATGGGGGTATGTCCTAAATAGAAGCAATACATGGAAGTTCGTAAAGTTCTATGAGAGTTTGTAAGATATATTGAGTGACATGGAAGTATAAGGAGGTTCTCTAGTAAGAGGAAACGTTCGTGTTGACACGATCGTTATTAGCGTTTAACCAACCGAGTATTTTTCTCATGGGCCTATCTCTAGCTATCTGTTTTATCGGTCCACGCTTAACGTAATGACTAGACCGCTAGTTTAATCTATTTGAACTTCAGCAAGGATGTATTTGATGCCTGTAACCTGTTTTTTTCCAGCAAGTAGATACTTCTCAGGTCCTGGAAAGGGTTGCCAAGATGGAGTCTACCCAGGTTTGCTACTTTTGATTTATTAGTAGTGTTGAATATAGGCTGAATGGTTGTTCATGTACTCTTTGTTGCTTTATAGAAGGAAGTTCTGTCTGTATTGAAAAATTTAGGCGCCGCTTCACAAAACTTGGTGCGTTTTCTAGATGCTGATTATTGTAATCTGTGTAAATTTAGTGCAATCTCGTTTTTCATCTTGTTTGATTGACTACCTAATTTTTAGGGCAGTAGCAACAACACTAAAGAATCTTCCAACTTGAATCGGAGTAACGAAGAGGAAGCTGCTCGTTATTTTGGATGGAAATCAGTTATAGGAACTGTAGCAGCTGTAGCAATTTTGGCTATTTGCTTAATTTAAGCCCATCTTTGTATTTTTTCGCTTTTTATACGAACTAATAAACTGTATGATTCCTGTCAATTCGCCCTTTAACTATTGGGACTTTTCAGTAGTATGCGCGCCATATGAACAATTTAGTCTAATGAGCTTAATTGGCTGAACAGATTAACCTATTTGGGTTAATTAACATAAGTATCGATTATCGGTTAACACTCTCGCTGGCTCATTAATTCGTCTCGCCAGCGTCGAACAAAACTAAAAAATGGTGAGTTCCTTTAACTTGTAAATCTTTATGATTTTTTTCCCTTACTGAAGCTCTGATTTTAACGCCTTTACCATCATTTTAGCGTGAATGTATCAGCATCCATATCGGTCAGGGTGGTTGTCAAATTGGTAATGCTTGCTGGGAACTCTACTGTCTTGAACATGGAATTCAACCTGATGGTCAAATGCCAAGTGATAAGTGCATAGGAGGTGGAGACGACTCCTTTGAAACATTCTTCAGTGAAACAGGCGCTGGTAAACATGTTCCTAGGGCAATTTTTGTCGATCTTGAACCAACGGTCGTTGACGAGGTTAGAACGGGAACGTATCGTCAACTTTTCCATCCTGATCAACTCATTACTGGCAAAGAAGACGCGGCTAACAACTATGCCCGAGGACACTACACTGTTGGCAAAGAAATGGTAGATCTAGTACTGGACAGAACTAGAAAACTCGCAGACCAATGTACTGGTCTCCAGGGCTTCCTGGTTTTTCATTCTTATGGAGGTGGAACAGGTTCGGGATTCACCTCACTACTCATGGAACGACTCAGTGTCGATTATGGCAAGAAATCAAAGCTAGAATATTCAATTTACCCTGCCCCACAGATTTCTACAGCTGTTGTTGAACCCTATAATTCTATTTTGTGCACTCATTCCACAATTGAACACTCAGACTGCAGTTTTACTTTTGATAATGAGGCCTGCTATGATATTTGCCGGTAAGTTTTTCTGAAACTGCCCTCATGAGATTTAATACAATGGATATTGACTCTTTGTTTTCTACTTAATAGCCGCAATCTCGATATTGAACGACCCACTTACACCAATCTTAATCGTATAATCGCCCAAGTTTGCAGTTCTCTGACTTCATCCCTGCGTTTTGATGGTGCTCTGAATGTAGACATGACGGAATTCCAGACAAATTTGGTGCCCTATCCTCGAATTCACTTCCCCTTGGTAACCTACGCACCCACCGTATCAGCTGAGAAGGCCTACCACGAGCAGCTGACTGTTCCGGAGCTGACAAATGCTTGCTTCGAACCTGCCAATCAAATGGTGAAATGTGATCCACGCCATGGTAAATACATGGCCTGTTGTCTGCTCTACCGTGGTGATGTGGCACCTAAAGAAATCAACGCTTCGATCGCCTCTATTAAGTCTAAGAGGACCATTCAGTTTGTAGATTGGTGTCCTACTGGTTTCAAGGTTGGTATTAACTACCAACCACCAACTGTAGTTCCAGGTGGTGACTTGGCTAAAGTTCAAAGAGCTCTCTGCATGATCGCCAATACTACAGCGATTGCTGAGGCCTGGGCTCGACTTGATCACAAATTCGACCTCATGTACGCCAAGAGATCTTTTGTTCACTGGTATGTCGGTGAAGGTATGGAGGAGGGAGAATTTGCTGAAGCTAGAGAAGATCTCGCAGCCTTGGAGAAGGACTATGAAGAAGTTGGACACGACAGTATTGAGGGAGAAGGTGAAGAAGAGGAAGAATACTAAATCCTTGACTTCCCTGTTTGTGGTGTTTCAATTCCGTGTGTACAGAGTTCAGCATTTCTAGGAATCTGTCTGTAAGAAAGCCATAAATACAGCTAATATTCCCGACGAATTCTTTGTCTTTTCTGGTAGTTGAGGGAAAAATTAATTCTTGAGTCAATGGTTATGTGAGGTTCAGTTGGTTAATTTTTGCGAATAGTTGTCCTAGGCAGAGACGCTGCTTAGAACAATACATGCTGCCTTAAAAATATGGTGAGAAATCCTAGTTTTTTTGACCTTATTTTGATTCTTTAAATTCTTTTAAGTTTAATTTAGTCAAAGTATTAGCTATTATCAAAGATAAATATTAGTAAATGCCAATGATATGCTAGTTAATCATGAGGATTCCGTTTTTTGGTAAAGACATAAGTCCACCAGGAATTTACGAAGAAATTAAATTCAAAGATTCGATTTCTCCAATTCAAATCACGAATGTGTTTTAAGCTATTCGTACTGAATAGTTAGCATAAACAGTGTGTTTGTTTCGAGAATTACAAATTTGTATCTAGGCCCATAACTTGTAGCAAATCGCTACACTAATAAGCCTTGACTATACTCAGACTCCAAGATATTCGAGAAACAGATGTATCACACGGAACACGGCTCCGAGATGTGTTTGTGGGAGTGTACAGACGAGAAGCTTAGTCATTATATTAATATGGGGGGGGGGTGTGCGATAGACTTAACTCCACGTGGTGCATCCTTGGCAACGTATATTCATAGGGCAAAAAAGTCTATTAACTGGCAGTTGACTTCTCACTTCAAACTATCATCACCTCACTCTATGCTATATTCGACCATTTTCACAGTACTCACCTCACCTTTTTCTACCTTGTGTTTGTCTCTTTCATCTTTGAAAC